AAACAAAACCAATAAAAACACTACTACTACACTCACTACTACAAAACTCTTAAAACAAACTGCAACCCAAAAAACCAACAAATATATAAATACACAAGATACTTGATGATGCTAATTCTGTCCCACAGAAAAAAACTAATGAAACTTATTAACTAAGTTCTTATAGCCAAAATTGATATATATAGTTTCCTTACCTCTACTCATGGTCATCATCCACCAGACAAATTGTAACCGATATCGACGTACAGATGAAAGGTGTCCATCAGGCAGCTTTCTCCTGTATCCTTCCACTGCAAGACTACAGAGCCAAAGAGTTGCCCAGTAACCCAGTGATTTGCTAAAAAATTTGTTTCAAATTTGTTCGACCTGCAAGTATCTAAAACACGCTAGTAATTCAAGATATTTCAAAATCTACAACTTTATGAAAATTGTTATCGTTTTTGCAAGTACATTTTCTTTTATAATTCTTATTATATTTATTCATTTATTTTATTTTTTATTTTTTATTTCTTATGTCAGAGATAGTGACTAAAATCTTTGAAAGTATACACCAGGGCAGGAAGGCTATTGATACATTAGAATTTTATCCTGAAGGAAAATTCTGCTTGAACACAGTACAGAATTGCTTTGTAAAAAAAAAAAAACCAAAAGACATCACACATCACAAAACACACCAACAAGAACCTGAGAAGTTGTACTTCACAAGAGGAAAATATAACCACAGAAGAAAAAGGACATTGTTGACAACATAGTTCCATGGATTATGCTAGTGTGGTTGTTGCCCATTGCTCTATTGAACTGAGGTTTGTGTAAAGTGCATATGCTAAGGTGTTAGTATGTTTATTGCATGTTGCCCTATTGCACCGAGATCACAATTAAAGTGCTGAAGTGCTTTTACATTGTTCAGCAGTTTAATGGAGGCTGGCACAAAGATAATTTTAGGCGATTTAATTTGCATTTTGGTACACAGAGATTATGGAAAATTATTGGTGATTAAGGGATGAAATATTCTGGATGGTGTATAATACGTATGATAAACATAGGCTAATGCCACTCAACCCCTTATGGCCAGGAACACTGAATAGACATTTTAATTGATCTGAAATTAAAGAGGGCTCCCTTTAATGATTACAGTGCTACTATCCCCAAATGAAAGATAAGTGTAATATCACAACCATTATCCAACAGTCATTAAAACATCAAATCATCAGGTCAGTGCTTGATCAACAAAGCCACAAAAAACAGCTGAAAACTAGGAGGTCCTTCTCAACAGCCAAGCCATCATTGGCCCAGAATAAGAAGTCATGTTTAGAGCAAGTCTGACCCAAAAACACCAAGAGACAAGAAAAACCCAGGTTGATAACTGCTTTACTTTAACCAAGCAGATTACGAAACAAAAACAGGACTTGTCTTGGTGGGTACCTCAATGACACTGTAAGCTAAGGCATATCAATGGTTAACCCTGACAACCAACATCTGCCAAAGATATAGCTGACATTTACTGTGCAGGTCTAGTTGACATCCTGGCAAAACAACTCTGTATCAGTCTCTTATGCAACAGCCCCTAGTAGGAACATGACAGTCTACAGTACTCCATCAAGGGCTGCACTGCCAATGGTGGCTGCCAGATAGGCTGACACTTGTGTGTTTTGGCATTTGGTCAATGACATGACATGCATATTTTTGTGTCAGAGTGAATTATTTTCTGTTAAAGTAATTTTAATCAATTCATGACATGTATCACTTTATTCTAATACATTTTCACTACTAATGATATATACTACTAATATACACTAATATACACTACTAATGATATATATTATTTTATGTTTTGGCATTTTATGTTTTGGCATCTCAAACTCCCAAATAAACAGATTAAGAAAAGATTTTAAATTGTGCTTTAAACCTTTCAAATAAACCAAATTTTGTAGTAACCAAAGTAGGCTACAAATAGTTTTAAAGTTGCTGAGATAATTGAAAAACTTCTATCCAGCAATTTGAATGTATTGAATTGTCAGGGTGGCACAACCGTAAGCATGGGACATTTATTCCGAAGTTAAAATTTATTAACAGTAACAGGTTATTGCATCATCCAGAGGACCCCAAGTGACCCTTTGGTCTGAGTGAAAAGGTTTGTAAATCCCTTTCAAACAATGATAAATATACCTATGTTTAACTTATAGTCAGACCATGTCAGGTGGTACAACCAATTGGAACATTTAAAAAATTGTTGTTAAATTACAATCTAATACGGTGTATCCATTGCACTGTAGCCTATTCCTGTTGTTTAACTGAATGTGATATCATGGATCAAGAAGAACAACGTTTAAAAAATGAATTAAAACACATGTTATTTAACAAATAAACCTTGTTTTTTGTAAATATGAATTACATCCATTTTGAAATGACTTTTTATAAAAAAGATTTTAGAAGCTTTATATGTCATTGATCCAGCTGCTTTGTCATGAAGTTTAGAAAGAAATTACAGGTGCAATGCCTGTGTCTCATGGAAGCTGATAGCCCTGATAACAACAACTTCCAATTGGGTCATGGAGCTCTTGGACGTGTACGTGTTAGGTGTTGAATTATTGATACCCTATCTCACAACCTGCATTTATATAAGTTTAACTGTCGTAGTAGCATTGTGACCTTTGAGAGATTTCTATATCCACTTTATTAATTATGGATCAAAATGAATAGGATCTACTTGTATGGAGTAGCAAATACCACTGTAAGAATAACAATCCGTACTTTATATACAATAATATGGATGTTTGATGTTTACTAAATGTTAGATATAGGTCACACTATCATGTCTGCATTCTGTATCAGTATGAAATACCACAACTCAAATTCTACATCAGACGTTAGCACTCATTTGGAAGGTGAAACTCTTGTTGGATTGTTGATATTTAGAACAACTTAGAACAAACAAAATATCAGTGTTAGCAATGTTTGACAATTTTGGTTTTGGTTCCCATATCAGATGTTGGTATCCTCCGTCAAGATGACATCGGCACGAGATGTTTGGAAGACACTGGATTGCGGTTACACCACGACTCAAAACCAACAAAATATCAACATCTAATGACGTAATTTAACGTTGTGCGGACGTTACCATCATGACGTTTAGCAGACACTGGTTCCCATACCTCATGTCCAAATGTTGGTATTCTACATCAAGATGACGTTTTCACGATGTTGCATTGCGGTTACTTAACACCACAACTTAAAACCAACAAAATATCAACATCTAAGTGTGGTCACTAACATAACATAATCTGTCTTCTGTAGAAAGGTGAAACAACCACAGCTAATGCTGTAGTACACAGCCAGAGGTGGAAAGTAACGGATTACAATTACTCACGTTGCTGTTATTGAGTGTTTTTTTGTGTCCTTGCACTTTTTAAAGTAGTTTTTTTAAATCTGTAATTTTAATTTTACTTAAGTAGGCCTATGTTTTGTTTAAAGTATTGTACTTCGCTACATTTTCAATCACATCCGTTACTGAGAAAAAAAAAAGTGCAAGGAAAAACTTGTGGCCACTTTGGCTTCAAGTTCAAGAGAACAGCTTCATGATGCAGTGTAAGCTGTGAAAAAAAGCTGTATTAAGTTATTGTGAATGCAACCTGAACATTTCCTGCTGCTGCAGATTCACATTAAAAGCATGCCTCTGGCAAAACACAAGTTGACTTTTATTTTGAAGTAGTCACAGGAAATCTGTTTTGTAAGTGAAGTTTGCGAAAGTTGAAAATATTAAACAGTAATATGGCAATTACAGATGTTTTTGAAAGTCCAGCCCCCACAGTGTCTGCTTAGAAAAATTTGTGCTCTTGAACAAATGTAGTTTCAGACCCCTGATGTAGAGGTAAGTAATAAAAATAATTGCCTACTTGTACCATTCAGAATCAGAAGGAGCTTTTTGCCAAGTAGTGTTTTACACATAGGAGGAATTTACTTTGGTGGCTTTGATCTGTAGCTAACGTACTGGTGTAGACAAGTGCTTGTACAGGTTTTTGAGTTTATGTGTGTGTGTTTGTGTGTGTCAAAGAGATTAGGGGTGCTTTGAAGAGGGGATGGGTGTTCAGAGTTCTGATGGCCTGGGGGTTAAAGCTGTTTCAGACTCTGGTCTATAAACTGCAGGTGATCTAAGAATGCTCTTCTATATGTATTTTTGTGTCTGTCACTATTTCTCTGTCTGTCTTTTGTGTTCAGCATTTATTAAACACTTGGTGGTGTTTTCTGTGTTTGTTGGGTTCTGGCCTCCATAACTGAGGATGCAGAAAGGGACAGTGCAACCACAGTCATGGGGATTTACATGATCCGAAGAGATGGGGATCAGGAGCCAGAGGATGTAGGAGTTGTGATTGAAGGCATCAAAGTCCTGAGCAACTTGTGTCATGTTTGTTCAGCTCATGTATGCCCTTGATCTGAGTTTTCCAGACAACCTCAAGTACAGTTCAAGTAGAGTTTGTCCAGAAGATCATAATGAATTTGGATGCTGAATGCAAAATACAACAGCTGAAAATCAAGTTTGTTTGCATAAGAGCCAGAACTTTGTTATTCATGTTGCAAGTGACCTTTACATTAAGTTATATTTAAATGGCTTCTGTGGATTTCCTTGTTAGTTATAATCGCATTGAATGTTTTGTGACCCCCCCCCCCCCCTTTGCTAGTTTAACAGTGGTCCACAATTTTGTTCCCACCAATGATAACACGCAAAATTTTCCTGTAGGACACAAGATGTCTCCTACTGCACGCCCTTGTTCACTTTATGTGCACAGCTTCTAGTTTCTGCATTACATTAATATAAATTGAATAGTGGATCACAATTAAATTCCAAATTAGTTGTGACATCTCAAATTATTCCAGTAGGTCTGCCCCTTAAAACTGGATTTTCACTGAGCCCAGAGAAACTTCCCACTTTCAGCAGATGCGTGTGAAAACAGTCTTCTTGTCCCAAACGCTGCACATACATGTTTGAGCTTCACTGTGCAGAATGATGTAGAATAGAATGAACTTTATTGATTCCCACAGGGGAATTTAACACATCATTTTAAAACAGCACAACACACATTTCAACAAACACTTTAAATAAAACCAAATAATGGCCTTATATGGAATAAAACTAACTTATAAATACAACAAGATATCATTTTAATAATAGCACACCACACATTTCAACAAAAGTCTAAATAAAACTAAATGAATGGCCTCATGCTATAGAATAAAACAAACAAATCAATCAATTTATTTTCAAATAACCCACAAACAGGTTCCAAGCTTCATTTAAGCCATGCGTCTACCTACACTCTTCACGCTGTGTGCGAGGAAGATTCTTGTCTTGTTAAGGACGTAGCCAACTTTAGAGAAAATACGCTCTGATGGGGCTAAGTGGCCGGAAAGGAAGTGTTTGGCTGCAAATGCCAGATTAGGGTAGCGGTCGCTGTTTTGCTTCCACCATGCAAGTGGGCCCGACTTTAGTCGTGTCTTTCAAATAATGCTCCATCTCTTTCTTTGCACTGTCTCTGTCTTCTTTGTCCTCTTCGTCTTCGCACTCCATCAGCATGGAAATCTCCTGTTTCTTTTGTTTTTGGTGATGGTGGTTCAGCAGTCTCCTCTTCTCAGTGGCTTGCTGACGGCTCTCCCACCTCCCGAACGGCCTGTCACAAGAGCAGATGTTCAGCCAGGCGGACAACCTTAATATCAAATGAAAGTTTTCTTAGTGAAATCTGCAGATGTGACTTGTAACATATTAATAAATATTATTTAAATGTAATTTAATATAAAATATTAGACTTACCTCAATATAAACAAGGCCCTTCTATTCATTGTCGAGGAATTTCAGTTGCTTGAATCGCTGGTCTAGTGCTGAAGAAAGGAGGTAGATGCTGCTGGGCTCCAAACTTAAAATTGCCATCTGCTGTCAATCTCAGTGATGAGGGGTTTCTTCAATTCACCGCTGGCAGGGCTGTCATCCGCCTCCGGTCGTGTTTCTTCAGGTTGAAGAGCATTGGCACTGTTGCAGATAACGACACGTTTGCCTCCTGTGACAGTAGTTCTTGTGAGTGTTAATAGGGGCCCCAGTACTTCCGCTCTTTCCTGTGCCAGTGTCCATTGGTCTGCTGTCAGGTCCAGGGTTCGATCTCCTTTCTTCGTGATGCTGGGATCTGACAAAACAGCTGTCACTGGCCATCGTTACTCCACCATTCGGTTAAGCATTTCACATGTAGAGTTCCAACGAGTATCGAGAGTTTGTGCTCTGCAACGTTCTGCTGCGTTTGTTTCTCTTTCGAGGCAGCTGTAGCTTTTGCACTTTTTTTGAAGTGTCAGACCCCTTGAACGTTGCCCCATTTCTCCAGTTCTCAGTACACAGTTTCATATTGCTGGCATTCTCATGAACAGCTACTCGTTTATAATTTGGAATAGCAAAGGCTTCCGCCGCACTCCAAGCTGTTTGCAATGTTGCCTCCCGTATGGCTCACTTCAATTACTTTTGTTTCCAAAACAACAAATCCTACTATAAATGATTTTTGTCATTCCCGCAACACTAGACAGAAGTACCACATGTACTTACTGTGTTGACATACTTTCATTTACTTTATGATAGCAACAGTGGGCTACAACGTGCCTAAATAACTGGACAAACATCCAGGTGACTCTCACACAGGAGACTACTTATAGCAGTCACTGTGTACAATGTATGTTCATTCACTCACTGTGATGGCTGTGATTTTGGGGAGCAGAATGTTTACAATGGACATGGCTTTGAGATGGGTGGGAGAAATAAGACAGAAAATAAGGAGCATTTTATTATTAGATAGCAATATTAGAGAGATGCAAGAAAGGTCATCAGCTGGAATAAAACAGGGACACTGCAGTTTAGGGCCAGATTTCTAACCCCTAAGCCAAGAGGCCCATGGTAACAGTTTTAAGGGCGCACATGCTGGGTAAAGTATTAGTTTGGCTGCTACATGTGTAGGCTCTGTCGGTACACTGAATAAGTCAAGCTTCACAATGGCGAGATGTGGGGTGCATCCGGACAGGCTGGCAGTTATTCGCAGGGCTTCACCAGTACCACTAACCTGAATGATAAGACATTTACACTCACATTCACATCTATGGACAAGTTAAGAGTCGCCAATTAACCTGTATGTTTAAGCACCTGAAGAAAACCCGGGTACGCACAGGAAGAACATGCCAACTTCACACAGAAAGGCTCCAGTTGCCTGCAGGGTCAAACCCAAAACCTTCTTGCTGTGAGGCAACAGTACAGCACCTTGTCTGTGAAGCTTCTCTGTCAACCAGGTCATAGTTATCCAACGAAGGTTGAGGTCAAGGGCAACTGGACTTGGTTGAAGATACTGGAAGATGTTTCATCCCTCATCCTAGACACTTCAGTTCTGACTGACTGGTAGGGAAACTCAACTATTTAACCTCTGCTAGGATCGTCTATACAGCTGGTTCGTTAGTGTTCCTGGCTGTGGTAACAACAGTGGTCATGGTCGTTAGAGCCACCCGTGGCCAAGTCTGAACGACCATCGTCGGTATATTCATCTGAGGCCAAGAGGAAATGCAATTCAGTTTCCTGGGAAGTGATGAAAGGACAGCATTGTAAGTGGGGTATAAGTGGTGGTGTAGACCCCCTCCCCTGTTCAATGACGGCTTCTCCACCCTGGTGTAGATCTTCCCTGACACCTCTTTCAAACCATCCATCTTCTCTGTCTAAAATGTGCACCTGGTGGTCCTCAAACGAGTGTCCTCTGTCCTTCAGATGTAAGTAGACTGCAGACTCTTGACCTGAGGAGTCGGCCCTTCTGTGTTGAGCCATGCGTTTGTGTAGTGGTTGTTTAGTCTCCCCAATATACAGGTCTGTGCATTCCTCACTGCATTGGACCGCATACACTAGATTGCTTTTCTTGTGTTTGGGGGGTGCGGTCTTTGGGGTGGACCAGCATCTGTCTTAGTGTGTTCTTGGATTTAAAAAGCACAGGGATGTTGTGTTTGTGTTGAGTTTCTCTGATACTCCAGACACGTATGGAATCACAGTGTTGTTCCGTTTGACCTTCTTTTCTTCATCCCCTGTAGTTTTGGTCTTCAAAGGTCCATTTAGGGTATCCACAGGCTGTAAGTGCCCCCTTCAGGTGGTTCTGTTCCTTCTCTCTGGCTTGGGCGCTTGTTGGTATGTTTTCTGCTCTGTGGTGCAGAGTTCTCATGACCCCTAGCTTGTGCTCCAGTGGCTGGTGGGAATCAAAAAGTAAGTATTGGTCTGTGTGTGGGTTTCCTGTAAACACCAATCTGCAGGCTCCTGTCCTCTTCAATGTGTACAGCGCAGTCCAGGAAGGCCAAACTGTTGTTGTGAACATCTTCTCGTGTGAACTTGATGTTACTGGCCACGGAGTTGATGTGTTCTGTGAAGGCTTGCACTTCTTGGGTTTTAATTTTGACCCAAGTGTCATCCACATACCTGTACCAGTGGCTCTGTGCTGTTCCTCTGAAGGAGTTGAGGGCTTTGCTCTCCACTTCTTCCATGTAGATGTTTGTCACAATAGGTGACACTGGTGAGCCCATGGCACAGCCATGCTTCTCTCTGTAAAATCCTCCGTTGTATTGGAAATAGGTGGTGTTTAGACAAAGGTCGAGTAATCTACAGATCTGGTGAGGGCTGAGGCTGGTTCTGCTGTCCAGGGTGTGGTCTTGTAGTAGCCGTTTCCTTACGGATTATATTGCCTCCACTTATCACCCACTTACAATGCTGCCCTTTCATCACTTCCCAGGAAACTGAACAAGCATTTCCTCTAGGCCTCAGGTGAAGATACCAATGATGGTCGTTCAGACTTGGCCACAGGTGGCTCTAACGACCATGATGACTGTCATTACCACAGCCACGAGTACTAACGAACCAGCGGTATAGACGATCCTAGCTAACGATCCCATAGAGGTTAAATAGCTGAGTTTCACTGCCAGTCAGTCTTCTAGTATCTTCAACCAAGTCCAGTTGCCCTTGACCTCAACCTTCGTTGGAGTACACCACCTTGTCACCCTGTGAAAACAAATTATGAGACTTTCAAATACCACAGCTTCTATAAAATACTATTAAGTGTTTGTCCTGTTCTGTGAGTATGTTCAACAACTGCTGCTAATAATATTTAATGTTTTCCATGTATCTAATATAGCTTGCATAAATCAAATAGAAACATCAGAGGCATGGTAATGACAACAGTAACATTTATTTGTGTGACTCTTCCTTACTGGCAGTGTTGGGCAAGTTACTTCCAAAATGTAATACATTATAGATTACTAGTTACTGTCATTTGAGAGTAATTAGTTATATTACATTATTACTGTCTCTGAATTGTAATGCTTTACACTACTTTTGCGTTGGTCTGCATGCAAGACAGTGACAACCTGACGACTGACCACACTTCACTCTTCAAGCTGTAAAAGAAAGAAAAAAAATATATATAATTCCCCGTGAAGACTTACTGTCTCAGCAGTTGTTAGTTTTATTTATTTTACAGTCATTAAAGAACTTTTTTAATAAACGTAGTGCTTGTGTATGTTATTACAGACTGTTACCTGCTGCACAAGGGTAAATGTATTCTGTCTCAGCCTGGTCACCTGAGAGGAAAAACAAGAAGTAGAAGAGACATTTATTAAACAAACAAAAAAAGAGTCAAACTTTCTTATATGTTCAACAGTCTAAGGGCCTGTGTCCATCAAAGTGTTTTTTCAGGGTTCGAGTCTCTAAAATAGCTTACTAATTAACGTTCCCTGCGGAGATAAATAAATAAATAAATAGGGCTCAGATTAGGGGTGTGACAGCACACGTGGGTCATAAAAACAAGACAAAAAGATATTTTAACAGTATTTTGAATAAATATTCGATGCTAAAATATATCACTTGGGGGCGCGGTTGTGGGGTCCTCGCCTAGAAGACTTTGAGCATTTAACACTTAATTTCCTGCATTCTGGAGACATTGACTGCACCAATTTAAGGTGGAAATGTCTTTATTTATATAAATGCAGTAATCATCAGCTTGTGTAACTTTTTTGGACAATGCACATTTGTTTCTTCTATATTTCAATTGCATTACATTCCTTGTTGCTGTTTTTCAGACAATTTTTAACAAAACCTTTCAAAAAGAGACATTCTGATTCTGACCTGTTCCCAGCATCCCCAGTATAAATGACAATAATTTTAAATGTCCCGCCCCATCCAGGCTGTGATTGGTCGGTTCACAAAAACTGACATTGACGAGCTACAATCAGCACACGGCTGCTTGAAAGGCACCCAAGCTTCTCTTCTCTCTCGTCTGTCTCACTGACAGAGAAAAAGTCCCAGTAGGCCAAAGAGTAAAATGTTGAGGTGCTGTCGCACTTCAAGCACTTAAACTGAGTTCATGTTTGGGGGTCTCGGTCTCAATCTGTTCAGTCAAAACTATATTGCGCACCATAGTGGCTGATGGTAGAGAAGTGCAGACATCCTGTCAGTCATGCGGTGCGCAGTGTAGTTCATTAGGAAAATATGTTCATTTAAGTCTGTTAATAATAGTACTAATTACAATGACAAATACATTATCTGCTTACATGGGAGCTCAGACCCTTCCTATGAGAGCTGAGCTTCCCCTGGCTCCCATGTAACTCGAACCCTGCGTTTTTGACCAGCTGAAAACGCCACCGGCTCTTCTGAAAACGCCTGGCTGGGAGCGCTAGGGTGTGCTTTGGAGGCGCAGCATTTTTTTTTGGCTGAGTTGGTTGCTATGATACATAATATCCGTGGAGGTGAAGTGCTGCAAGTAGGCTATATTTTACTGAATGTAGTAAAAATGTCACCACAAAGTAGGGTAGGCCTTCTGAGTCAAGTGCTCCCATTGCAATGAATTGAAAAAAGACGCTGGCCTCAGGAAAAAATGCTTTGGTGGACACAGGCCACCACACACTTACAGACATTATAGAAAATATTGTTCAGGTTGTTGTGCAGCTCTGCTAAGGAGCAGAGTTTGTCAGTGTGGTCTCTGTAAATGAGCATTAGAGAGGACTGAGTATCTGACTTACTTGGCTGGTAGTAGTCATAGATCTTGACCACGGCTGGCTTCAGGTTCTGCACTGTGACCTCCTGTAGGAGGTCTAAGCTGTGGTTGATAGGTATGTTCTTCGTTAACTGTTGGAATAAAAACAGACGACACGTCAGTCACAAATCTGGAGAGCAGCATCTATTGTTCCTCACTGTGAATCCCTCTCACCTCCGTTATGTACACCAGAACGTGATCTTCCTTTTCTTCAACACGATCCACCAGCAGGGCACCTTTGAGCTGTGAGGAGACCACATTCAGCTGGATCGTTTATTGAACACTATTCATTTCCTACTCATTTTAAAGTCACTGTAATAACTCACCCTCCTCAAAGACTCTGGGTCTGGGACAAAGCCAGAGAGCATTTTGATGTCCAGGATCACCATGTTTGTAGTGCTTGCTGTTCCACTATATCTGCAATGCAACCAGAAAAATGTGATGTTCGACTTCATCATGTTCTTCAGAGTTCTAGTAGTTGAATGCAGAGACAGATTTTAAATCTGAGGCTTTGGAAAGACTTAATTTACAGTTGAGATATGTTCGAGCTGAGTATTAACGACCAGTTTGTAATCATTTCTCACATGTCCATCCCCCAACAGTCAGTAGCTGGTAGATTCAGAGGATTGTTTGTCATAAATTACAGTATTCTTCAATCATTGCTGTAACATGGATCTAGTGTTGTTGATTACTTACAGGGACTTTAGCTTCAGAGTGAGTTTGGGTCTGAGAGATGTGCAGTCGGCCTCTGGTTTGACCTCCACACTGAGAGTGGTGACAGCAGCAGGAGTTGGGATGTTATAGTGAAGAGAGATCTGGGAAACAGGGATACAGGGAGGTTTAATAATCATAAGAAGTGAACAGGGGGGGGGGGTTGTTTTGTTTTTGTGTGTTAACTCAGTTTTCGGCTGTGATTACCGGGTCTCTTTCACCAGAGAAGAGCTCATGAACATCAGGGGAACAACTCCAGTGGATTTATTTCCCACTTTTATCGTCATCAGTGGAATTATTGGACATTTTGGTGAAGGGCTCTCTCGTTATTGTTCGCCAAGTGAAGCGCCGTAAGCAGAGCAAAGGTGAAAAAATCACACACAATTAAGGCGAGAGAAGTGAGAGAGTGAGACGCGCCTGTTGTGTGGATTCACCTGCTATTAAAAAAGCTTGCTTTGTCGCTGGTTAAGTGGATAATTAACAGCAGGCCAGATTAGTGCACAACACATGCTGGCCGACCAAATAACCTGTGTGGAGCAGACAAAACCGGACTCCCTTGTTATTGTTCTTGATGACTTTAACAACGGAAACCTCTGCCAAGAACTCCCCAAATACAGACAGTTTATAAAGTGTCTGTTGCTCCACTGGGTCACTCTGATCATGTCATGGTCCACCTGATTCCTGCTTATAGACAGAAATTAAAACTCTGTAAAGCTGTTGAGGACATCAAAGAAATGGACCAGTGAAGCTGTAGATGATCTTCAGGCATGTTTGGACTGCACTGACTGGGGTGTTTTCAGGACAGCTACCAACAATCTGGATGAGTTTACAGAGGCTGTGACGTCCTACGTACCAGGGTGAGTTATCACAATGACAAACCCTGGTTCACAGCTAAGCTGAGACAGCTGAGGTTGGAAAAGGAAGAGGCATTTAGGAGTGGTAACTGGGCCAGGTTTAAGGAGTCAAATGACAGTTTTAGCAAGGCGGTGCGAGATGCTAAACAGCTGTATGCAGAGAGACTACAACACCAGTTCTCAAGGAATGACTCTGCTTCTGTCAGGATTCAGACAGATCACCAGCTACAAACCTAAACCCACTCCATGAACGACTCACGCCTTGCCAATGAGTTGAACCAGTTTAACTGTCGCTTTGAAAGATAATGGGACAGACCTGACACCATCCCCGTCACACCACTGACTGGCCACAGTCCACCATCTCCTCCCCCTCTCTTACCATCCTGGAGAGGAACGTCAACAGACTGTTGACCAACCACGCAAAGTAGCTGGCCTGGACTCTGTCTCCACATCCACCCTGAAGCACTGTGCTGATCAGCTGTCTCCGGTGTTCACAAACATTTTAACAAACACCTCACTGGAGTCATGCCATGTGCCAGCCTGCTTGAAAGCCTCCACCATCATCCCTGTCCCCAAAAAAACAAGGACCACGGGACTACAGACCCGTCGCCCTGACCTCTGTGGTAATGAAGTCTTTTGAGCGCCTTGTGTTGTCCCACCTTAAATCCACCACAAACCCTCTCCTGGACCATCATCTCCCAGGACCTCAAGTGGGAGCTGAACATCACCTCCCTCACCAAGAAGGCCCAGCAGCGGATGTACTTCCTGCGGCAGCTAAAGAAGTTCAGCCTGCCAAAGACAATGATGGTGCACTTCTACACCGCCATCATTGAGTTCATCCTCACCTCCTCTAATACCATCTGGTGTGCTGCTGCCACTGCCAGGGACAAAGGCGGGCTGCAGCGTATCATGCGCTCTGCAGAGAAGGTGAAGGTGGCTGCAATCTTCCTTCTCTTCAGGACCTGTACGCCTCCAGGACTCTGAGGCGAGCAGGAAAGATTGCAGCTGACGCTATCCTATCCCGGCCACAAACTGTTTCAGACTCTCCCCTCTGGCAAGAGGCTGCGTTCCATCATGACCAAAACCTCTCACCATGTCCCAGGCCACCCACTGACACTCCCCCCTTTCAAATAATACGATCGTCTCTGCACATGTAAATATCACTTCATGTCATATCATGCACAAACCTGGCACATGGCACGTATTTGTTGTTAATTTGTAAATTGTTGTTGTTCCATTGTTATTTTTATTTTATTATTATTTTTATTTTTTTATTGTCAGTTGCTATTCTTCTGTTGTTATTATATAACTTGCATTTGTTTATTACATATTTATATATTTCTACATCTATTTATGTCAGCTGTATGTCTGTCTGCGTGTTGCACCTTATCACCAAAGCAAATTTCTTGTATGTGTAAAACACTACTTGGAAATGAAGCTCCTTCTGATTCTGATGAGCCTATCTAACCCCTTGTTTCTCAGTTCACAAGTACTTACAACCTTAGCCTAGTTAACACGAATTAGAAGCTGGTTCTAAGCCCCTCTATGATTTGTATGATGATCAGTCCTTGCGTTCATAGTACCATCCATTTCCACGCAGCCAGCTACCCATCCACCGCGCTCCGTTATCACGTTCCTCAGCACCACATTGTCTACTATTCTCCATCCAGAAGATGCGGCCCGACTCCACCATACACACACAGGTCGTAGCCGCCACTGCTGACTTTAGGGAGAAGACAGCT